ATTCGATACAGAAGAACTACCTGTACACAGAGTTATCTTTCTTCGTTCGCTATGAACATGTTATGAATGTAATAAATAATTTTGACATTTCAGAGATGATGCTATGACGAAATTAAATCCCAACGAAATTTTATTTGATATAAAAACAACGAAATTTTATCCCAAAGAACATATGTGCTTCTTACAGTATGGCAAAGAGGGCTTGAAAAATACCTATACTTAAGTCATAATATTAGCTTAAAGTATTTAACCTACAGTTTTAATTATTGAACAGTATGAAATCATTATATTCCAGCAACATAATGACATATAGAATACCCATCTAAGCAACTATTTCCTATGGGTTTAATATAATTATCAGATCAAGATCCATGCAATATTATTTTAGTTGTCTATAAGACACCAATCTTGTATGTTTAATATAATTAACAGACTAAGATCACTGCAATATTAAGTTTTTCATAAGAAACCCACCTTGGCAAACAATTCCTGCTGTTGTCGGAGCAGTTCTTCCTCAGGGATTCCCAGATTTTCCAGACGGGAACTCCCTCTTCTTTTTTTAGCAGCTACAGCTTTTGTCTCTTCTAACACTGCTTCAGCGTCCTCTTTATAGTTCCCAAAGCCAAGGTGATCAAGTGCTACAAAGGAAGAGGAAATTCATTAAGTTCACAATAGAATGATGCTCACTATCAGTTAATTTATATTACAAAGACTATGTTTATTGCTGAATAGAATTTATTAACCTCCTGACTCTCTAAGCATTTTTTTTCAGGATGAGGGTTAAATATATGAAAAGAAAAAAAATATTAAGCTCCTAAACATGCTTAAATAGATTTCTCCTTTCTTCTTGTAGTTAAATTAATCCAATGCAAATAAACTTGATATGTGTGTAATGGTTTTCAAACTCAAAGTTAACTTAGAAATTGAATTTTATGCTTTTTTTAAGTATCCAAGGGCTTTTTTAGTCTCACTTATATATATATATATATATATATATATATATATATATATATATATATATAGAAAGCACAAAGAAATTCACTTTTACATGGATACCCACTTCCGCCCCAGCCCGGGGTTGAACTCTCGACCTTCGGAATCTGTCTCCTAGCAGTGCAGGAACAGCGCGCTAGACCGCTCGGCTATCTAGGCAAGTCAAAAACTTGCTTTCGATGCCGATGGAATTCTCGCGGCGCTGCCCTACACTACACGGTCATTGAGAATAGAAGTGAGATACAGTTATTTGGACATTAGTTTTAACAGAGGATTGTTACCAATACATGTTGTAATGAAATTAATTATTATTTATAAAGCACAATTTACAACAACTCTTAAACTAATATAACTGCCCTAAGTGAAGAAATATTAATATAGAAAGCACAAAGAAATTCACTTTTACATGGATACCCACTTCCGCCCCAGCCCGGGGTTGAACTCTCGACCTTCGGAATCTGTCTCCTAGCAGTGCAGGAACAGCGCGCTAGACCGCTCGGCTATCTAGGCAAGTCAAAAACTTGCTTTCGATGCCGATGGAATTCTCGCGGCGCTGCCCTACACTACACGGTCATTGAGAATAGAAGTGAGATACAGTTATTTGGACATTAGTTTTAACAGAGGATTGTTACCAATACATGTTGTAATGAAATTAATTATTATTTATAAAGCACAATTTACAACAACTCTTAAACTAATATAACTGCCCTAAGTGAAGAAATATTAATATAGAAAGCACAAAGAAATTCACTTTTACATGGATACCCACTTCCGCCCCAGCCCGGGGTTGAACTCTCGACCTTCGGAATCTGTCTCCTAGCAGTGCAGGAACAGCGCGCTAGACCGCTCGGCTATCTAGGCAAGTCAAAAAACTTGCTTTCGATGCCGATGGAATTCTCGCGGCGCTGTCCTACACTACACGGTCATTGAGAATAGAAGTGAGATACAGTTATATATATATATATATATATATATATATATATATAAGATACATTTTTGTATGCTGTATGTATATGTACATGTAAGTGAAACTGCATCATCTGAATGTGCATAATTCTGCAAAATGTAACAGATATGCTTGGTAACAGTGGGGAAAAATGTTTTGCATGCAAATTAAGAAACGCTGCCTTATAATTAACCTGCAATAATATGTTCTGGTGATATTGTCTTCTTGCTTTGCTTGTTGCAGATTTCATTTGCTTCAGACGAAACCAAGTGAATGAATTCAGTGCAGCAGTTGAGGATGAGTTCCCGGGCGTCGTTTGCCACGCGGATGTTTGGGATCAGCTCCTTAATCATTTTGTTCAGGGCGGCTCGAGGAATGCTCAACTCATCCTCCTCTTTGTTCTCTGCAGGCATTTTATCCATGATGAATGATCAGATGTATAAAGTCTGTGAGTGCTCACGCCTGCCCATTCATCGTTTCTTAAAACCTTTATATAGAAGATATCTATAAAGATATGAACAAGATATTGTGCTAACACCAGTCATAAAATTCAACCTGTCAACATGCATCCCATCAGAGCTAGATTTCGAGCTTTAGTCTGATACAATTAACGAATTACTAGTTTTACCTACATAGCTTTATTTAATCCCTGTTGAGATTCTGCTAGGCTAGATATTTGGACTGACGCCGTCGCAGAATCCCTGGACGACTACTAATAATTCATGTCTGGGGATTAAGTCCCAACTTCGGTCGACTATAGCAAGAATTATTCACCTTGACCACACTGCCGTTCGCTTCAATTAAGTCATTTAGTTGTTTATTTGACTCTCTGTCACTATTATTTCTACATAGCTTACCGTTTAGGCATGTAAATCCCAACATAAAAATATTCACTGAAATCTCAGTTTAAAATATGGCTCCCATGACGAACGGCAGTGTGGTCAAGGTGAATAATTCTTGCTATAGTCGACCGAAGTTGGGACTTATTCTCCAGACATGAATTATTAGTAGTCGTCCAGGGATTCTGCGACGGCGTCAGTCCAAATATCTAGCCTAGCAGAATCTCAACAGGGATTAAGCTTTATTTACTCACATGAAGTAGCCTAATTCATCTACCATAAATCATACTTATTTCAAAAATTAGTATCGATTTTTTTTCAGGATGTACAAAAAATCACACAATTTGATGCATCTACATCTACATAATACAGCGTTCCATCAAACATGATGATTATACGCAGAGGTAGTTTTCAATTCTGAACTGACAACAATTCATAAAAATCACTCTGGAAGACTTTTCTCTTCAAGTTCTAGAAGTTTTGGGACTATATATATATCAGTTAAATTTCTACGAGTATTTCAGGTGGCATACTCGTGATACTGTTTTCCCGAACCAAATAAACCCGAATTTTCTCGACACATATTTTGTATGAAAGGACTTCTTGCTGAATACAAAAACATAAATAAATCATAGAAATAAAATCAAAAGCATTGAGTGATCTCAATCAAAAAAGTGGTAAATAATGCTTACTTAAAAATTTGATTAGTCTCTAATACATAAAATGATGACGAAAGACAGAAAAAATCGAAACTATTTTGTATAAATAAAATTCCTTGATTCCCGATCCCGATACAAGTGCATTACATTAAAAAAACCACGTAATTTTTAATTTCACTGATTATACTCAATATTCTTTGCAAAAATGAGATTTTATACTTTTTATATAAGTATTGGATTGCTGTTAAATTACAGGAAATATTTTCCAGACGAAAGAATATGGGGAAAAAAAAAATAAATATCCTCGAGCTCAACATCTTTTTTTTATTTTATGGAAGAAAATAAATCGGAATATAGTTTTTACGATGTTTACACCCGGAACAAAAAAGTATGTTATTGTGACATTTGACCGTTAAACAATGTAATGTGCATTTAGTTTGATAAGTCATTCGTTGATGATGTCAAAATTTTATTATTTACATGTAACCCTTCAAATGGAATCTATTTTTTTATGTCAGGGCGAAACGTAGATCTAGGATTGAGTGAAACTGTGTTCCTGTACAGTGGGAGTTTATTATGTGACTTTGAAGTAAATCACACATAAAGGTAACTATACTGTACTCGTTTTTTTATTGTCTTTAATAATTAACACATGGTTAAATCACGCAAATTATTAAAAACAAAATTAAAGTAAATTTTAGTCAATCATGGTCACATAAAATAGATAAATCTGTAACACTAACAGGAAAGAAGAAAATGTGAACCAAGAATCAAACCCAGGACCCCTACATCACTGTTAAGGAGCTCTACTGACTGAGCTACCAAGGGCGATATCCAAAGCCCATGCAAACCTTTACATTTCTTCTTCCTTAGATTGTTTTTGACCTTGTAGTCAATCCAAGTTCTTTTTGCCCCTGGCAGGCCAGACCATAAATGGAACACCTGTATGTACAAGTCTGACAGGTGCTCTGCCGATTGAGCTACCCAGGCCGATACTCAAGGCCCAAACCATATTACACATATAACAAGAAGTGAGAAAATGTATGGGTGGACCGGAAATCCAATTGACCTATCTGGCCACTGGCGATCAAACCCCGCTGACCGCCATATTCCTCCCTTTTTAAAGGTCTTTGGCCCCCTGAAAGACCCCAACTCAGGCCCATCCCTGGCAGGCCTCTCACCTGTCCAATCCTGGTCATGGCACCAAATCTGTATCAGAAAGGGAGAAAATGAATGCTTGGACCAGGAATCAAACCCTGGACCCCTGCATCACTAAGTCAGGTGCTCTACCAACTGAGCTACCCAGACTGATATCCTTGGTGCAAATCATTACATTCCTCGCTCCTTAAATTGTCTTCAATCTCGAAGACACAACCCAAGAACCTATTAGCCCCTGTCAGGACTTTCACCTACAAGTCTAGGATCGGTCAACGGCACCAAATCTGTAACAGGATAGAAGAAAAATGCAGCAGACCAGATCGGAATTCAAACTCGGGCCCCCTGAAACTCTGGTCAGGTGCTCTACCAACTGAGCTATCTGGACACTGGTGATTGAACCTAGCTGATTGCCACACACACATGTTTTTTTTTAAATATTTTAACATTCCCAGAATATGTTGAAAATCCAATGTTTCATCATAGTCAGGGAAGGATATGTTTAAGATCAATACACACCTACACAGCAACACAAGTAATGCTTTCCTCTAAAAATCCTTAGTATTGCTACATGTATATTTAAAGGCCCATTCTTTTTAAAAGTTCAGAGTTGAGCAGGAACAATTCAGCTTTAATATCTCTTGGTATTTTGAACAGAAGAAGAATATACGGGAATGACATGACCCCTCAGTCCCCTGAAAAAATAAACTGAAATATAGTGTGGCAGTTCAGACAACTGAATAAATATATTATGAGATTGGGTGAGCATTAAAACAAATGTAAGGATTTTTACTTTTGAAACCAAAATTGAATTCTAGGGTAAAGGTTTATCTAAAAATGTCAGAAAGGCTTGTCTCCCATAGAATATTCACAAATGTCTGGCTTAACATTTTCCAATCATACTCATTTCACCTTCTACACAAAAAGTCATTTTAATAAATTAGCTACATAAACCCCTAGCACTGTCAGCCCAACAATCCTCCTTCTATATCATTATGACTATAGCTGCATATCTGTAGCTCACTGGTCTGCAAAAAATTGGGATTGTATGATGACCACTATTAACCAGGCTGAGAGTTTAAAGTCATCATTTCCTAAGTTTTATGGTCGATACAATGATTTTGTCAGCAAATACATTCTATCTTAAACATTTTTAAGTCAAATGCTGACTGACGATTTTCATTCTAATTGATAGGCCCTTATTTTAATATATACTAAATTCGAGAGAATTTCTGTTATTTTCCCGATCGTGACAAGGAGTACACGACAAGTGTGAGCTCAGACACTCCTCCATGGCATCTGAACCCACATCTGATGTATAAGAGGCCCGTGTTTGTTATGCTCCAAATTTATATTGTTTTGTAACAGGTAAGGAAAAAGTGCATGGCTGGACCGGGAATCGAACCTGGGACCCCTGCATCACTAGTCAGGTGCTCTACCGACTACCCAGACCGATATCCATGGCCCAATCCATTACATTCCTCCCTCCTTAAATTGTCCTTGTCCTCAAGGACACAACAAAAGTTTTTAATTAGCCCCTTGCAGGACTTTCACCTGCAAGTCCAGGGGTGGTCAACGGCACCAAATCTGTAACAGGAAAGGAGAACATGTATGGCTGGACTGGAAATGAAACCCAGGACACCTGCATCACTTAAGTCAGGTTCTCTACCAAAAACCCAGGCCAATATCTAGGGCCCAATCCATTACAGTTTAATAGACCTTTGTTCTTGAATACTGTTTGTTATTTCCATATTTTTCATCTATAAATTTTTTTTATGAAATATGCACATTCCTTGCAGTTTATATAAAAGTGTAGTAATACAAAAACGAACCCTAACACTAAACCTGATGAATATCAATGTGATCAATACGAATACAACCAGTGTTTTGCGACAGTGAGAAATATTAAATGACGGAAAACCCTGTAATATTGATGTATATTTTTTTATTAATGAATATTTACATTTTTAGTGATTACTAGTATGCTATGATTAAATCTCTGCTGATTGTCATTTGACTTGTTACCTTGACTGTATGCCAAGATAGTGATGACCATAAAATTCAATTAAAATGGAAATATGTAAATTAAAATATAGTTAGTAGGATAAGTTTTCAAGTTAAAATCTGTCGTATTGAATGGGTCATTGAGAAGCAGGAAGTAGGCTTAACCCAATTGTAACCTCTCCCAATATCACATGCTAGAGGGTGACACCACAGCTAACTGTGCCCCAGTTATTTTTTTTTTAGAAGTGGATTTTTACTGCAAGGTCATTGTGCAAACAATTTAGATCTATCCCTGTGTTAAACTCTATCCTAGGCAGCAACGAACCTAATTAACATGCATCCATGCTATACAAAGATGCTTATATAACAGCCTCCCATTTCACTTCATTAGGAAGTTTTAGTCTTTGTCTTAAGTCACTGAGAATGAATCTTATTGTTTGGAATTCTCAGATTTGTAAAATCATTATACTAGGGATCCAGTCAGTGGCTTAGGTCTTCGGTTTTAATGTTCTGGGGAAAACATCAACAGTGTCATGCAGGTGACCGTGAATGCCACCTGTTGAAAATAAGTATAATTTGAACAAGATAAGAATAAGACAGGATGCTCCTGTATGGCAATATAACGAATATTAAACTTTTCTTAAATGCAAACTCACTGGAAATACAATTCTGAAATATGAAAGTAAGCTAAGGTTAAAGTTTTTTTCATAAGTATGGAAATCTCCAAGGTCAAAAGATCAAGGTATATCCAATGAAAGGTCTTACCACAAAAAATACATATGTGAAGTATGGAAGCCCTAGCCCTTACCATTGAAAGATATGGGCAAGGTTAAAAAATTTTAAAAAGTAGGTCAAACTCCAAGGTCAAAGGTCTTATTAAATGAAAGGTCTTGTCAGAAGGATTAAATATGTAAAGCAGGAAAGTGCTAACCCTAACCCTTTAAAAGATATGGTAGGTTTGCTTTTTAAAAGAAGGTCAAACTCCAAGGTGAAGGTCAAAGTTCTTTGTATCCAATGAAGGGTCTTTTCACAAGGTTTACATATGTGAAGTATGAAAGCCCTAGCCCTTACCGTTCAAAAGTCATGGCCAAGGTTAAAGTTTTTTCATTAGTACAGAAATCCAGAAATCTCCAAGATCAAGGTCAAGAGATCAAGGTAGTTGTATCCAATAGAAGGTCTTCCCACAACAATACATATGTGAAGTATAAATGTCCTTGTATCTACTGTTCAAAAGATATGTCCAAAGTAAAAGTTTGGAATTTTTGTGTAAAAGTGGGTCAAACTCTAAGGTCAAGGTTAAAAGGTCAAATTCGGTGATACCCAAAGAAAAGTCTTGTCACAAGGAATATACATGTGAAAAATGAAAGTCATAGCTTTACTATGTACATCAAAAGTTATGTTCAAGGTTAACGTTTTTGTGGACATATAGACTGATGGACTATGTATTTTTTGTTGCAAGACCTTTCATTGGATATCAGTTACCTTGACCTTTTGACCTTATCCTTGGAGATTTCCATACTTATAAAAAAAACTTTCACTTGAGCCAAAACTTTTGAACACCAAGTGTAGTACTCTTATAATTCTCATATGTAATCCCTCTGAGAAGGCCCCTCATTGGATACCAAGAACTTTGACCCTTTGACCTTAACCTTGGAGTTTGACTCACTTTAAAAAAATCAAACCTCCACCATAACTTTTAAAAGGTTAGGGCTAGTGCTTTCATACTTTTCATATTTAATCCTAATGACAGGACCTTTCATTTGATATCAAGAATTTTGACCTTAACCTTGGAGTTTGACTTATTTTGTAAAAAAAAATTAACCTTGGCCATAACTTTTGAAAAGTCAGAGCTATGGCTTCCATACTTCACATTTGTATTTTTTGTGACAAGACCTTTCATTGGATAGCAATTACCTTGACCTTTTGACCTTGATCTTGAAGATTTCCGTACTTATGAAAACCTTAACCTTGGTCTCCTTTCATATTTTTTACAATTGTATCCAGTGAGAATACCCTACTTTGGGTACCAATATATTAAATTTGCATTTAAGAAAAGTTTAATCTTTGCTATGTTGCCATACGGAGGCATCAGTGTTTCACAAAGACATCTTGTTTAATCTTATTGTTAACCCATTATTTACACCTTGAATTGTCAACAGATTTTTCCGACAAGGAGCACACGGGTGTGATCGGTCGCCAGGGGATGCTTACTCCTCTATGGCACCAGATTCCACCTTTGATATTTTAGAGGTCCATGTTTGCTCTGCTATAAACTATGGACTTTTGATTTTGAATACTGTTCGCTATCTCCATATTATATTTCACATGAAGCTTTTGATATATCACATTTCATTTTATTGTTTGTTAAGTAGTTAAAAATAAATCGTCACAAGGGGTGTTTTAAGTATCCTCTTTTCCTTTTTTGCATAAATTAGATTAAATATTTGACTTCTACTTATAAAATGAATCTGTATGTAATACAAAATATAATAATACCTTACTAAAACAACAAGTTCTTAGGTTACATAGTCCTAATATTCACCTGATGGTAGTATGATGACACATGTGATCGATGCCAACAATTCAAACTTTCTTTTAAATTCGGCTACTCCATACTTATATTTCTGATCATGCCTCACGCCGTAAGGTTGAAGGGGTGCTTCCCCGAATTATTATGATGAGGAAGTGTGTTTGGTGTTTTGTGCTTATATAAAGGGTTTGCTTGTTATGAAATACTTCTAACGTGTTGACTTTACATCGGCAAAATCTTGACCCGAATAGGCTTATCCCCAGGTTCTGTTCCACAGCTTTAGTGACTTACATTCTGCATCACAACCTGCCGTATACTAGTATACCAGTTTTATGCCATTGAATTATCTCTTATGGTAGTTTCTTTATGCCAGTATAAAAAAGACCTCGTGTTTGACATCACCAAAAACACTGAAAGTATATTTAGCTAAACATATAGTAACTGATAGGAAAGTCGCGATTAATCACGACTTAATTCTCGTTACAGATTAAGGTCGGCACTATGTACCTCTATCTACGACAAGGCGACGTTTTGAACCTGATTTCTGGTGTTGTTCTGAAGGATGGATACCGTCCCGTGGTGGGAGAGGTGGGAAATGACCTTCAACTGGAACCCGCCATTTGGTTCAAATCTCTTATCATCGACGCCATCTTAATTGACTGTGATCGAAGACAAGTTCGATGGAGTCGCGCACGCATAAAGCCGGGGGAGCGGATCAGCGAGGAAATCGATGACGTATCTATAATTTGCGAGCCGGACAATGTCATCAGAGCAAAACACTTCGACACCCCTGTCTTCGAAGATTACGATTACAGTGAATTAGATCCAAAAGCTCACGAAATATTTGAAGCAACGAGACAATTGTTGCTCAATATGAAAAAGAGAGAGCTGAATGAGGAACAATTTAAAACAGAATTGTTAAGATTGCTCCATTGCTATATCATGCCATCTATATCGTTATCAACAGATGACATTACAAATCTTAAAAATGCGCTTTTACGGGTTCAGAACCAGCTACAGAGCATTGACAAAATTATTCTGAAGAAAGACAGAGCCGTTCAGTTGACAGAGTCTTCTATGGCCAAGCAACGTGAGACTTTATTGGAACGGGAAGATTTTACAAGTGAAAAGCACATATTGTCTTGCAGTCCCAAATTCATACAAGCATTCGAAAGGCAAATTGGAAAAGATGTCGAGGAAACTTGGCAGACAATGGAAGTCATGCAGAAAAAAGTGAATGAATTGAAGCGGGATAGCTGTACCTCCACGGAACTGGAACAAGTCAGAAAAGAGCGAGACATGTGCTACGAGAAGTGGGAGAAACTCAAAGTAGTGAAGGAAACCATTAAGGAAGCCAGACTTAGGCGCAAAAAATCCAACAAACGAGTATCAAAGTTCGAAACGTCAAATGTGTTCCACAACGTCTACATTGAGATAAATGAACGACTCCAGACAGAAAAGGAAGAAATTCATAAACTGTGTTTACACAAAGTCCAAATTTCCTCTGTCCGAGAAGCAATCGAGTTAGCGCTGGATGAATTAAAGACTGATGGTCAGACGTTAGGCTGGCAGATGAAATCTGACGGAACCCCTGAAAACGACATCAATGGCATGAGCTGCAAGCCAAAAGACTGGTTCACTCTAGAAGAGACGATTTCGGCCATTTTGGCTGATGTCAAACATGACGTAACACAGAAGCACGTTCGATTCTGCTCAGGAATACAAGACAAGATTGTCTCGACCTTGAGAGAGAATCAACTATTTGAAAACCAAGTCAATCCCATAGAAGAAGACCTGTCAGTATTTTCCTCTAGTTTTGTCCACATTGAACATGACCTTATAGCTTCAGGTGATCGATGTAGAGAACGAAGATCCAGACTAGGACACTCAACAATGTGTATTCCAGAAGATGACACTCAAGACATTCCAAGAAGACGAGAAACAGTTTACCAGTCACTCATCAATACAGTTAAACGAGAAATAAACGAACATATGGGAAATATGGTAGAATTACTATCACAAATTAACCCTGAACATACTCGCGTTGGGGGAAACACGAGCGGAAAGATATTGATTTGCTACCAAAATCATCTATGTCATAAAATTATGGAGCCTTTAGAATCATTGTATGACAAAACGTACGGCAGTATATGTATCAGTGTGTTCAACAAAGTGAAGGATATGTCTTTTGAGGAGCTTGGGATTGACGAGCCCTGGATACGTCATCTTAACGATCTATCGTCTTCACCTGTCCACGTGACAGATGTTAAGGTACCTGTCGAGACTATTTCCTTAACTAGCGTGCGTTCCATAACGTCTGATCTCAGTTTGTTCTCTATCGGAAAAATGCCCATCGATGAACTCTATCGGCGGGCCGAAAAGGAGGGCTCAAAGCTGGAGAATGACATAGAGACTGTTGAGTACGCCAGTCCTTTCCCTGAGGATTCAGAACTGACCCACCCCAAGAACATGCTGGGCGCCTCTCCATCGAGGGAGAGTGATACAATAGCCTTTCATGAGCCTCCGCCGTCCTACGAAGAATCTTCGAAGTTACCGCCCTGTTATGAACAGAAAAGCTCCGCCAGTCAAATAAATCAGGAGGAAGGTCAGAGCCTGTACGATATTTTACAGCCTGGCCTGGATATGATCCACTCTTTAGTGAGGGAGAACACCATAACGGGTAAACTGAAGCTAATCACCAAGACGTACCGGTTTGTTGGTGATCAGGTGTCGACGCTGAAGTCCGCGGCCTCGCTTCAGGATTTCGTGGGTTGTTGTGACGAACTCCTCACTCTCCTGATCGTGTTACTCACGTACCTCAACGAAGAAGATTTCAGAAGACTCTATGTTCAGATGTACATGGTGCTCGACTTTAAGCCTCAGTGCATGCTAGGTGGCGTGCACGACTGTTCCCTTACTAACTTTTTCGCGGCATTTCAGTATCTTCAGGATCGATTAGTCATGCAGAATGTGAGAAAAAGTAATACAGACGAGCACTAATTCAAAAATAAGGAAAGATCATGTTTCTGGTGAATGTTAATTTATATATCATGTGCCAAATGCTTTCATAGGACGTATAGCTTCATTGTAGATTGCTTCGCAAAAGCCTTCTTTGTTTTATCTTTTCTTTGTTGATCAAAAATAAGAACAAACCTTTACCTGTAACAAGCTGAGATTTACTTTTGTGGAGCTCTGTTGGTTGTTTTTACTTCTTTATTGAGTTTTTAATATATTTTGTTGTGATATACAGTGTATAAGGATGGTGTGTTTACAACCATTTTATTGCTACTTTTACGTGGACATAACTCGTTTTATTTATAGTTTCAACAATACTTGGTTTTTGTGTTGTTTTATGAAGAACATTTGTTTTACCGAATCGATCGTTGTCTTTATTATCTCTAATGATCAAAATGTAAGCACACAGATACTGTAGTATTTTGATAGCTATAGGTACATGCGACCCAGCTTATTTACTAGTGTTTACATTTGTATATAAATAAATATTGCTTTAGTCACACTTGAAAACGATTGTTTTAAAAATTGCATAATAGATCACGATATTGATATGATCATGAGATTGTGACAATATCAAAGTTCTAATATTTATTGCGGATTGTTGTAGTTATTTATATATCGAAACATTGTATTTGTTTTGCTGAATGGAATAAAAACGATTTTTAAAATCACTGATGCTTTTTTGAAGTGTATCTTTTATCAAATATTCATTAAAGGATTAAAAATGATTGCATAACAATGACATGATTTTCAATTTCAAATTGAAAACGTGTTTGTGAAACACTATGCGCCCGGCTGCAACAAAGCGAGAAAAAAGCTATTTTTAGCATATAGGTCACAGTCAAGGTCACAAGGTTATCATACTTGGTGTCATTTGAAAAGGCGTATTGAGTGGAGTACACATACCAAGTATGAAATCTTTATCTTTATTGGTTCAAAAGTTATGGCGAAGGTTAAAGTTTGTAGGAAAAAACTATTTATAGCATATAGGTCACAGTCAAGGAGACACGGTCATTGACCTTGGTGTCATTTAAAAGAACGTTAGTAGTGGAGTATGCATATCAAATATAAGTCTCTATCTTCCATGGTTCAAAAGTTACGGCGAAGGTTAAACTTTGAGGGAAAAAGTTATTTTTAGCAAATAGGTCACAGTCAAGGTCACAAGGTCAATGACCTTGGTTTCATTTGAAAGAACTTTATTCGTGGAGTATGCGTACCAAGTATGAAGGTGGAGTATGCATAACAAGTATGAAGTCTCTATCTTTCATGGTTTTAAAGTTATGGCGATGGTTAAAGTTTGCAGACAAACAGACAGACAGGACTAAAACAATATACGCCCCGGATCTATCGATCCAGGCGCACAATTAATAAACGGTATGTTGGTTATTTTAAAAATTGTCTTTTATAAAACATCGTGTAATGATATATGTTGAATATTTTTTTTTAGAAAGGTTACGTTTGAAAAGATCACCATATGATTTCTTGGCTTAAAACACTAGCCTGGCATCATCTTTTGCTCTTTTTTGATACTTTATATTTCTTGCAGGGCCCAAAACAGTTCAATAAGTTTCCTGAAACTGTCCGATAAAGAACTTTATTCGGTAATAACCAATATTTGCCCCCCTAATCAAAGGATCATTCTCTATAAGGCCGTTTTGCGGCCTACAATGACTTCAAATTTTCAGATAGTATTTTTCCCCTTAAAAATTGCATGAATCGCTAGGCTTATGTTCCAATTTAATGATAAATATTGGTTGGTTAAATATACAATAGTATTTTTAATGATATAGGGTCACAAAGTAAGGTACTATCGGCCCGTTTTAGCATTAGAGTAATGGGAAACTCAAGAGGGAGGCTGTGTTAGATAACTCCTACGCATGTCATAACCACCTTTAACCAACACCAAAATTTGCATGTACATTTCTTATAAACAGAAAAAGTGACTACCAAATTATGAATTTGGTTAAAGGTGGTTATGACATCTAAATAAAAACTTTTCACTTCATTTTTACCATATTTGCAGAAAGAGCTATCTACTCACAATGAAGGATATCAGCTTATATAGATTATTTCTTTTTGTAAACTTTTGGTTATATTATAATTTTCTGTTGATTTGCTAAGGTTTATATCAGCCATGCATATTTACTTAA